TATATTATATTTATATAAATATGACTTAAAGAATATGACTTAATATGTACGAATATATAATAAATATTGCAAGAATATTAAATTATGGAACGAAAGATGGAAAAAGGTAGCAAATCCATTGATTTTTCATACACCTTCATGTTCAGTACATAATAAAAGTATTAATCTGCTAACTACATGAATATTAATTGAATTCCCTAGCAGTCGGTATTTTTGTCTATCTGTAATATGTTCTGGAAAATGAAAATCTTCTGGGAAACACATTAATCGACATACCTCTTTAGGTGAGAAAAACCTAAGTTTCAAATCTGACAAAATTTGCATTTGCTTATTCGAATCATTTTCATAATTAGCAATTTCATTATACTTTGATTTGATTATTTCATCTGTAAATGGGCAATATACAGATCCTGTACCTTCTGCATAATAACTGTATCCTTTGGTGAAGCAACAGGAACCATTGCTTTCAGTTGTTCGTATATCTAATACCCATGCTCTCTTTTGTAGTAACTTAGAAGGCACTAAATACTTTGAATCTTCAATACGTTCCAAAATATTATTTAATGTATAACACAGTCTGCCAGATTTCTGATTAATTTTACCTTCTTTCTCTGCTAATACTGAGTGTTTACTTTTTGGTAGTAATTCAAATAATTCAGGAAGTAAATTATTCCCTAGCGAGGACTGTTTAAAACAGAATTTCAGATTATTTCTTTTCGCCAGTAAATAATATCTATGTCTACTGTTTGGCATACCAAATTGGCATGGGCTTAATATTAACTCTCTATAGATATAGCCACAACTTTTTATGCAATTTACTAATCTGTCTCTCATTTGAGATACTTCAAAACCTTTAACATTCTCGAACAAAATATATCTCAAATTTTTCAATTCTGGCAACAAGTTCAAAATGTGTTGCAAGGAACAACTTCTGTTATCAAGAGCATCCTTCTTTAACCCTAATCTAGTAAAAGGCTGACACGGAGGACTCATAAACATAATGTCCACATTTAACTTGTTTAATTCCTGTGCATTAATAGACTGAATATTTCTATTCATAAGAACAGTTTCCAGAAAATTGTGATGGTAAACATCATTTGCAACAGGATTTATATCAATTGCTGCGACAACTTTAGCTGCAATTCCACTCTCTGAAATGTTACAACAAAGATGAATTAATTAACTTTATAGTAAACTTACATATTGTTCACAATTGTTATCTTAATTTCTAATCTCTTTTTCCTAACTATCTGCTAATTCCGAATTATTCTTAATGTCTCTAGATCTTTGGATTTTATATTGTACCTTTAGATCTTTAGATTTGACTACCAGAACCTTTTTTTCACTTGATTGTATTGGAAAAAGGATTAGAACAATCAGAAATTTCTATCTCTTTATCTGTTTTGAAACGTATTAAAAAAGACTCGAACAATGAGTCCAAACGTTTATAAGTTTGAATTGTCTGTATTATTCATTTATAATACTATGTAATTTGTTAATAATTTGTTCGTATTTTTACATTAATTGCTATTACTTTTATTAGCAATTTTTATTTGTTCTTGGAATCAAGAAAATGTATATCTGATTTTATTTTATATATATATAAAATAAAATATATATATATAAATATATATATATGCACATATATACATGTATATATGTAAAGGAAATTTGTAGTTACATTTCTAACAGTATTTTAATATAAAAACACGATTCATTATATATAATTATATAGTAATATTTTTCGATTATTTAAATTTACCACGTAACGCATAATGCATCCCTCCAATGCCGCTGTATAACTCCAACGCCTTCATTATTTCCGATTTACTTTAGGTTTAAGAAAACAATATTTTATGTTATGAATGGTACTATGGTTTTCTTCTTTGCAAGAGAATGGCCCCAACTCCTACCACGGAGTCGATATGGTTAGAATCAAAATAAACAAGGAGCACAGACTCTTGCATAACGCATAACGCATAAGAAATTGAACCATCAGTCTTTCGTTTCCTTCCTTTCCATGAAATAAAGAACTATGATTGCTTGAATTTTTTGCTTTATGTATTATGCGTTATGCAAGAGTTTGTGCTCCCCGCTATAGCTGCTCCATGCGGCGAGTAACAGGAATTAGGATTGCCGCAGACAAAATTTCTGTAACAGTAACCTTAAGACGTGAACTTAAATCGATGAGCCAATCAGGATACTGCCTTAGATCTACGTATACGTATTCTAACAGAAATAGCAGTAAACTTATCCATAAGGCGAGTTTTAATCGGTTGAAATTCACCTTATTGCGAGGTTATGGATAGGTTTATTGTTATTTCCATTTCTGTTAGCTTACATAATCCAAAGCAATATCCTGATTGATTTATCGGCTTAAAGCTCATGGCACATAGAAGAACGTAAGATCGTAACACGTAAGCAGTAAGCAAATTGGCCAATCGCAGTAGAGACGGTAATGCCAGTAGCGAATCCAATGTTACGATTTCCTTACTGATTCCGTCTTACGGCCTTACGTTTTTCTATATGCTCCCAGCTTAAGTTTACATTCTCTATTCCGCAGTCGTTTTCCGCACCGTATGATTTCATCCTAAGTCTTTAGACTACGAGACCTTAGTAATATTCTTCGCAATATGCGGGGTCTACAATAGAAGTCGTAACGACTGTAGAGTTTGAAATCGTAGAAAATTAAAACAATCACAGTCGCATATGAGAAGAATAATCTACTATAATTGATCAATTTTCTACGACTTAAGACCCTACGATCGCTACGACTTCTATTGTAGACCCTGTAATATAATTGGTATATGAAGAAATAACGTCTATTTAGGCGACGTAAATAAACAATATAATTTATTATAAGACCATATATGTGATAACATAACTAAAGCAACATAACCAAAGCCTTAATGTCTGTTCTACGATAGGGTCGCAAATCGTAAGCCGTAAGAAATTGGCCAATCACAGTTAAATGTGAGGAAAATAATCGATTATGATTGATTAATTTTTTACAGCTTACTGTTTACGATTCTATTATAATAGAAAAAGTATTCATAGTCCTTTGTTGAGGAATGAGGATTCCTTGTTCCTTATTTCACGTTTCATAAACCTTCTTTGACCAAACAAGGAGTCCTATTAACTTTCTTTTTTCAGGAGGTTACGAGTTTCCTGGAAGAAGAGATGCAACCTTCATAACTAAGTAAAAAAATGAACCAATCAAAATCTTTTATTTCCTTTCTTTCCGTAAAATAAAGGACTTTGATTGATTGATTTTCTTATGCCTCATGTTTTATGCGTTATGCAAAAGTCTGTGTTTCTCGCTTAACCCTAACCAAACCTATTTTTTACTTTCTCGTAGAAAGTTGTACATTCAAGAAACAAAGTTCTACTAGGTTTACAATCTTTCATGCAAAATGATGTAGCCTCGCACCAATAAATGAAGTTGTGTATTACATTTAGTAAGAAGCGGATGTATTTTTCTCGAGTATTGTATCATTTTTTAAAAGCGTTACCGGCTTCAACTATGCCTAGTACGACTAGCTAAGTAAATCTCGTTAAGGAAACCAGAGTCAATTAAAAACGAAGAAGAAGAAGAAGACCAACGAATGAGTTTAATTAGGATTAGGTATTTTTGGAAAACATTCCAAGCGGACACTATCTACGCTGCAACTTTGTAATAAACAATAGTAATAATAGGTTCGCGGAACAGAGCGACACTTTTTTCTGCCAGTTTCTTTCATTTTATACAAAAACGCGTCAAATGAGCCTAATTTTATTGATTTTTGAGGTGAAGTCCATAAACTATTAGGTTGTTCGGAAAGTAATTTCGTTTTTTCTTATGAAAATGAAAGACGATTTTCAATCAGACGCGTTTCAAATGATCATAAACGGTCGAATTCGATAAATTTAATCTCTCAGCGATCTCACGAGTTGTTATTCGCCGGTTTGCATCAATTAATGCCTTTATTGTGCCTTCATCAGCTTCAACTGGCCTTCCAGAACGTGATGCATCTTCAACATCAAAATTGCCGGATCGAAATTTTGCAAACTAGTTTTAGCACTGGCGTTCTGTCAATACATCTTCTCCATACACATCGGATAATTTTTTTCTTGCTTGAACAGCATTTTTACCTTTTCGATAGTAAAAAAGTAAAATATGCCGAAAATGCTGCTTTTCACTTTCATATTTGATAGGGCACTAACCAAAAACTACTGCGTAGAATCAATCGAACTTTTTTCACAAGCAAGCCTTGCTATATCAGCTGTCAAAATATATAATGATTATGCGGCTTAAGTGTGAAGTTGGCTGTGAAAAAATACAATAAGTCCTCTGTTGGGAAAAAACGAAATTACTTTCCGAACAAGCTAATATGAAATTATCTAAATATTATATAAAATATTATTAAATTATAAACTAAGTATTTTTTAAATAAAATTATTTTATTTTATGTATTAATCTGTAGAAATTAAATTGTGTTGCCTAGGGAATTTTTGTCACTACCAACACTATCCCCTCTTTTTTTATGGAAATAGTCATGTAACCTCCTTATATATAGGATTCTAATACCCGTATTCATAGTCCTTCCTTGAAGAATGAAGATTCTTTATTCCTTATTTTACATTTCATAAACTTTCCTTGACCAAATAAGAAGCCTTAATAGCTTTTTTTTCTCAAGGGAGATTACAAGTTTCTTTGAGGAGATGCAGTTTTCATAACCAAGCAAACCTCCAAATTTATTTTGTCAATTTATTTATTTGTTTTCTGGGTTATACCCGTATTCATAGTCCTTTCTTATTTTAAGGCTGGAGGAAGCCTCCATGAAGAATTCCTCGATTCCAGTCGAATTCGCCATAATGCTTATTATAAGGTGTAGTAAAAAGAAATCTATTATTTTTGCATTATATTGAGGGCTTTATTTAGCATAGTTAGAATGATCCGATTTAGGTCAAATATGCACCGTTTTGTTCGATAACTTGTTGCCATTTTGAAGGTAATTTCATTATGCCTCTCTCATAGAAACCCTCGTCCCTATTGGCAAAAAACTGGGACAGTCGATTTTCACAAGCTTCTCTTGAGGCGAATTTTTCACCAGCAAAATCATTCGCCATAGACAGGAACAGGTGGTAATCACTTGGTGCCAGGTCCGGACTATAAGGTGGATGCATAAGAACCTCCCAACCAAGCTCCCGGAGCTTCTGGCGAGTCACTATCGATGTGTGTGGCCTGGCGTTGTCTTGATGGAACACAATTCCTCTCCTATTGGCCAAAGCTGGCCGCTTCTGGGCGATTGCTTCTTTCAGACGGTCCAATTGTTGACAGTACAGGTCCGAATTAAGAGTTTGGCCGTAGGGGAGCAGCTCATAGTAGATGATTCCCTGCCAATCCCACCAAACACACAGCAAAACCTTCCTGATCGTCAATCCTGGCTTGGCCACCGTTTGCGCCGGCTCATCGCGATTCGACCACGACCGTTTTCGCTTGACGTTGTCGTAAGTGACCCACTTTTCATCACCAGTAACCATTCGCTTCAGAAATGGGTCGATTTTGTTGCGATTCAGCAGCGATTCGCAGATGGAAATTCGGTCCATGAGGTTTTTTTGCGTTAACTCGTGTGGCACCCATACATCGAGCTTCTTTTTGTATCTAGCATTATTTAAATGGTTCCAAACGTTTTTTATGCAATGTTTAGCTCCTGGGCAATCGAAACAGTGCTTACATGACGGTCGGACTCGACGATTTCCATTATTTTATCGACATTTTCAACAATTGGCCTTCCAGAGCGTGGTGCATCTTTGACATCAAAATTACCGGAACGGAATCGACGAAACCAAAATTGCGCGATATTGACTGTTACTATACAGTATCAGGACCATAAACACTATTCACATTTTCAGCCGCCTGGCTTGCGTTTTCGCCTTTATCGAAGAAAAACTGTAAAATATGGCGTATTTTCTCTTTGTTGGTGTCCATCTTTGACACGCGCTCAAACAATACTGACTCAAGCAATCACAAAACTGTCTGAGAAGTTTTTTTAGTACGAAATCTTATCTTTCTAACGCCATTTGGCGTAACCCGATCGCACTTATACAACGCGAGATACAGATTACTAAAGCCATCTATTGGAAAAATAATAGATTTCTTTTTACTACACCTAATATATAATTAAAGAGAAAATGCTTTTGGCACAGTTCATTTCCGAAAAAAAGCTATCGAAAATAATTATCAATGCGACAGATCTAAATTAAAAGCTATGAAAAATAAAAAGACCGGTGTGACGAACTAAATTTGGTGGTTTGATTGGTTATGAAGGCTGCACCTCCTCCTCAAGGAAACTCATAACCTTCCTTGAGAAAAGGAAGCTAATAAGGCTTCTTATTTAGTCAAGGAAAGTTTATGAAACGTGAAACAAGGAATCCTCATTCCTCAAGGAAGGACTATGAATACGAGTATTAACCCGTATTCATAATCGTTCCTTATTTTAAAGATGGAGGAAGCCTCCATGAAAGATTCCTCGATTCTCCAAGGCCTCCTTGTTTCATAAATGGATCTCAAGTCTGCCTTCTCGAAGAAAGAAATATTTTAGGGATTTTAGTAGCCTATTGAAGGCAGCATGTTATAATATATAGTATATGCAAACTTAATATCATGAATTATGAATAATAAAGATTATAAAGGCATTGTTAATTAAATAAAGTCGTGATTAAGCATTTTGCAACAATAATTTTGCAACAATAATTTGGACAAAAATAAAATTAATAACGAATTTGATTTGACGCACTCACTGCGCACTGATGCACATTAAAACTGTCATACATACACAAAATAACGTAAATATATGTTTATAAATAAACATGGAAATCGATTAAATTGTGAAATACTCAATATATTTTATTGTACTGTTAGGTAAAATATGTATTTCATAATTCGAAATATTTGCATTTTATTTTTATACTCAAATTAAGTCAGTGTACAACGGCTTTAATATCCATCAGTGCTTCCAATCGGATTCGTCATAATGCTTATTGTACGAAGAAGGAGAAAATATTTTTGACGCAGTTTATTTCCGAAAA